AAAAGGGGGACATTTCAGATCAAAAGGGCCGGTTATTAATTCGTATTATTTTTGCTGAAACCAAGACTGTATATGGATATATAGAGATGGCAAATAGTTTCATTTAGGTTAGATCTATAGTGTACCACTCGTACAATCCTTCTTAAACATCGTAAAACTTATGAGGGTAACACTGAAACCACAAAGCTTCTTTCATACATATACAAGTATGTCTCAATCGTTCGTAGGTGGCTTAAAAAATAAAACTCTATTAAAGGAGCACACCCAATGTGATAACCTAAAAAGGCAAGTTTTCAAAATAAAAAAAATATACGATTAAAAATTATATATTTAGTGATTTCGGCCTCCTCCGCTCAAAAAACTCTTTACTAAATAGATATTGTGCAAACAATGACCTACGGTCGAAAGAAAATCAAAAATTAAAAAAAAAGAGAATTTTACCCAAAATTTAAATTGTTTTTGGCTTTCCGAAATTGAACTTAATTTAACTGATTGCCTACGTTGACTATTGACAGTTACACTTTAAAAGGTTATAGCTGAAAAAAATATTTAAAATATTAATTTAAAATTTTGGTACGCTATTTGAAAATATATAGATTATCGAAATGTGTAACAAATAAAAATATTTTTTTTAATCTTGACCACTTTTACTGTTTGACGTACACCAAATATAGGAAGAGTAGCCTTGTTGAGCAACACACATAAACTAGTATATATTTTTATATATACATGCATACATATATAAATACGATTGACATAAACAAAGTGTTTACCTGGAGTAACCCATTTGCATTGAATTTCTGCACGTCAGCTGCAGACAGCCAGAGCATTGTCTTACAATTGTTGGGATTAAAATGATTAATTTCAGTGAAAGCGTTCAATACAAGCGCAATGAAAGTGCCGAGTTGCTTGGTGCAAGAAGGAATATAGATAGCTGGCTGTTTTATAGCAAGCTAAATATATGTACAAACTGTATATTAGGGTGGGACAAAAAAAAAAGTAAAAGCAGTAAATATGCTACAGGACTATAATTAAAAATGATGTTTTTCATTGAGTTATATAATTCAAAAGAAAAAAAAACATATTTTACTTGAAGTAGTCAAACTTCAACCGTTAATAAATTTTAAATGGTTGGGTTTACGAAAAAACCGTCAGAAACCATTCTGTAGAGTAATCAATTTCCAACAAAATCTATGAAACGAAATTTTTTTTTTCAAGTAGTTGGAAGCGAGATATGAATTTTTCTATCTGATAATAAGAAAAAAAATCGTTAGGCGGAGCACCTTCCCGTTACAATTAAGAACTCATACTTGGTGAGCGTTTCTTAGAGGTGTCTATCAACCAATTTTCTTGAATATGAAGTGATATTTCTACATTTTTATTTAGAAAATTAGTAGTGATCATTTTGAAATTAGAAAAAAGGAGCTTTTCAGAACGGTTCTAAGCAGACTGGAAAATATAAATTTTTTCCCAAAAGTGTGTTTGTTCAAAAGCAGCTTTACCGATAGACCTAAAATTTGTACCGTACACTCAGCACATGTAAACTCATGAAATTAACATGCAAAAACAAAACAAAAAAATTTTAAATTCGCAACTTTTTTTTCAAATATTTACCAAAAGTCCAATTTTTGATATATAATAAGATAAGCCAATCTGCCGGATTCGGGGAAGAAGTCAGATCGCTGTTTTTTCGAGGCGAGGGTGTTCAGCACACTGTAACTCATGTGATACACAATATTTTTAGCTTAAAGTTTATATTTGTACTGTCGAAATATATAATATTAATAAATGATAATAAATTTAAAACACTATTTCTTAGTGAAATTGTGCAAAAATTAGCTGTACAATAAGGCGAATGACACGAAACATACCAGGTTATCCCAAGTAACGAAACAGGCCGTTAAGGGATTTTTCAGGATATTTTTTCTACGAATATTTATTGGTATATATACCATCACGAAATTCTCGTTTCTATTGCATGGATATATTTGAGAAGGTGCATATTGCCTTACGTTCCACAGTATGGAAAGCAGCAGAAAACAAAAAAGCCTTTGCTGATTCTGCACCCTCTTGGCGATAACAGTATACTGAGACATCTTAGATCAGTTTTGAGGATCAGAGCTTGCTGCTGACAACATTTCAAACTGAAAAGTACCACTTTACCTTTATTCTTTCATGAAATATTTATTATGGTTCTGACCATTTTTGGTTGCTCTGCAGTATCTTCTCAACACTCATAGCATGATTGAATTCAACTGAAACTATTTTGTCGATCGCTTAGTATTTTTTGGTATATATTTAAATTTTTTCTTTAAAGTTTTTATGTTTTTTATTATGTTTCGAGATTTTTTGACATTTGGCTTGAATGGGTACTTATATTTTAGCTTAGGTTATACTGGCTGGCTGCCATGCCATATATAGATCTACTGCTCCTTTGTAAAGACAGATGGAGGTTCAGTTTAATTCGAGTTGGAAGTATTCGTCATAGAAGACGTTAACGCTTTTTGCGATGGAATTGTTATCTAATTTTGATACTTTATCTAGTACCTTGAGTTGCGAGTATCCTAGATACTTAAGATGAGACATGTAGAGAAGTTGTTCCAGCGTCTCTTTCAGCCCTACACTTTCTGCATGTGTCATCGTTACTAATACCCATCCGGCTCGCTGTTATGACCGAGTCTTTTCGAGACCGTGTGAGATACTGCATTCCATCTCATCCTGATCTGTCTGTCAGCCCAAATAGAACAGTATATACATAACTGTATGTGTGTATATACTTATAAAATTACACAGAAATCAATTTATGCCATCAATAATATTATATATTCATTGTTCACTTCTAAGAGCAAACCAATTTGCTGATTAAATTTTTAACTACAAATTTTTCATGTCAGCTATACTATATTTAAATTACCTTACTCTTTCTTCGCTTGATTACGCTTCAGCAGGCAACAACAAATATTCGCATGTACTCTCGAGCTAAGTGGGTATGAAACAGGTCAACAATAAGCTGGCCAATACAGGCATCGTGTTTAATAAAAATTTACACGCAAACACACACACACGCATACATAGACAAGTCAACAGATTCAGCGCAAGGATGATACACTTCATAAGGATACAGCAACGGAATTTCAATATTGATTGTAAAATTTTATTTTATTTTATTTTTCTACTTCATTACAAGTGCCCATTCACACACACAAGCGGCTATGCAAACGTCAAGGTTCACAAGTGCAAGGGGGTGAGAGAGAGAAACAGAGACAGTATGTGGGTCCGTCAATGCGCCTTTGTATGTGCTAGGATAACGCAATATTGCAAGCTGCAAGTGTTGCTTTCAAGTTTCCAAGGGTATTGTATACATACATACATACAAGTACATATGTTTACAATAAAAGCGGACTTAAAAAGGAGGGTACAAGTATGGATTTTTTACAACTATACATACGCATACGTGCTAATATAGATATTAATTGTGTATATAAGTACACATTTTATTTTGATATACATACATACATATTAAAATAGACCATGTAGGAAGAATTTTACTAAGCAATTCATAGTTTTTATTTGATGTACAAATTAACATTCTTATGCAAAGAATTAATAAATATTGTATTAGAGGCATAATACCTATAACAAATAAGCATATATAGTGTAGGCGATTTTTTGGTATTATATGTTTCAATATACATATCGACATGTGTACATATATATGTATGTATGTAAACATACATATTTATGTAGGTGCAGCATTTGCTTTAAATTGTAACGACTATAACACACCATATAAAATAATCTCTTTGTGGGGTAAATTAAAGCAACAAAATTAATTTTATTAACAGCAGCGCAGTGATTTTTTAACTGACCCTCAAGAAAGCCAATGTCATATACTAACATACGAAAGCATACACATATGTTATGTACATACGAATATCTACGGAGTTGTATGCACACTTGCTGCAAGGAATGATGACAATCAGTCAGCCCAGTTGGATGCTATGCTATCGTAAGCAATAAAATTTGCTCCTATATGCCAGTTTACGGAGTTAAATGCATTAACCGTGGCGTATGTACTATTTTGCAAACATAAAAGTGCTTCAAGCTAAATGCGCAACAGTTGAAAGTTCAAGTTGCAAGTTGGTTAATGGAATAATTTGAACAGTTGCACTTGGAAGCGAAAAACAAAAAATGGACACAGAGTTGCATCTAAAATTAATATTCCACATTTTTAGATTACGAAAAATGAAGTTTTATAAAAATATATCTAAATGTGTTTGAAAATGTACCAAAAAATAATACTTAATTTAAAAATGTTGTTTGAATTTAATCACTTTATATACATATGTATATGTATGTGTAGTCACACAAGAGCTAACTAGTGCTAAGTGTAATAGATTATGCTTTGGGGAATCAGTTCAAACTATTATTTTGAATCAACTCCGGCTTTCTTGCTAACATTTTATGTTATGGGGTTTATGATTTGCGATTTTTGCAGATGTAACAATGTATATTCCTTGCTTGTAATTTATTATTCTGCCCATTTCATAGTAGTATCACAGTATTTGAGTACAACGACTTCAGACTGAACTGTACTGTTATTATATTTCAGTAGATATATTATTGATTTGTTGTATGCAGACTAACACTTACTAATCTATTAATCACATCATATCAACCTTTTTATTAACCTACGAACACTAATTGATATATCTCTTATTATTTATTGAAATACCGTTATGTAGTCTGGCCTCACTTTTATTTTGAGGGTATTTTGAGACATCCAGTAATAAGCAAAAAAAAAATTGTAGACAAAATGAGCACTACAGGTTATTTGAGAACCCTTGTCAATTTTGTTTAACGAAGTGGCCTTTTCACAGCGGATTACATATATTCATAAAAATGGAATATTTTCTCATTTTGTTATTGATAACCTTAAAATAAAATTTTAATTAAAATAGATTATATTGAAATTCAAATAAAATATTTTTTGTGCATACCTGGTATGGGCCCACATACTCGGGGTATTATTTCTAAGATCGCCGAACAAGACGGGTCTTCGAAACATAACTGGCGCGCCAAAATACAATTGAGTATAGCGGACGCAACTTTTATGTTAGAACCTGCAATTAGAAGAAAACAAAAATTTAATAAACACAGTTTCAATCAATACAGTTTGTAAGAATGTACGTATGTATGTACATGATAGTAGTACTCGCATGTTATAATCAATGTGCTAATAGGGCTCTACAAAGTTTCAGATTTAGAGCCGACGATCGGAACTAGTATAAGTAAACTATAAGTATTGTTCACGAGATTTTTGCTTGCTTGTAAGATTACCTAAAAGATACTTATAAAGAGTAAAAGACGCAGAGCACAATACGCCTTATCACTGTAATATTTTTCTTGATAATTCAATTAGAAAAATTAAATAAAAACTTTAAATATCGGAAGGGATGTGAAATTTGTTATTCTGTCAAAGTCATGGAAAAAGAAGAAGAACCTTCGCATTCACAATTATTTAACAAACTTGAAACCAGAGAATGTAGATTATATATTATATATATAATATATATTTTACATTCTCTGTTGAAACTTAACTCAAATGAATGAGTATTATCTTAACACTTGCGGTATAACCTAAAAATATATTATTTTTTATATTAGCGTTGTTGCACTAATATTTTAAAATCATTTACGCGATTTAAAACAAAAAATATCCAAATGGTTTTTTATATACAAAATGCAAAAATTGTGTTAGCTACACCCTGTTAGTTAAGTTGCAAACCGTGCGCATTGTCATTATTTTTATTTTGTTGCGCAGGCAACCAGAGAACGTATATCATATATAATATACGTTCTCTGAGGCAACATCCATGCCGACGTCGACGTCGACAGCGACGTCGTACACTTATTGACAATCCGCAAAATCAGCTGTGCACTGGAATATTTATTTACTTTTATTTCGTGATAAAAGTGAATTTTACGTAAAAGTTTAATTTCAAAGTTTTATTTAAAACTGCCAAAATCTGTGTATAAAATGGAACTCGATCCGGATATTGTTAAAGAATTTGAAAATCTCGAAGTGTCTACTGAAAAACCAACTGAAGAGCAATTACGTGAGTTCGACGCAGATGCGCCATTGCAGGCACCAGCCAAAACGCTACATCCCACTTATTCGACGATACCGAAATTTTTTCATGCGCCACCGCCACAAAACAATGCATTGCGTCAAAATCTGCGCAAAGAAGCACATTCCCTCTTTCTACAGAAACGCTCACAAGAATTGCTGGATAACGATGAGCTCGGCGCTTTGTGGACTTTGCTGGAGAAACATTGCACGCAAGTGACGCCTGTGGGACAACAACTCATCAGTTATGATGACTACCAAAAGTTGCTCGAGGCAGTGAGCACAAAATGTCGCAAGTATTTGACTGCACGTTTGTATGCCAAATTGCAGTGCCATTCCATGTATCCAGGTAATTGGCCGCGAGGCGCCTTGTGTACGAATGTGTGTGCGATTTTTGATGTGCCTAACAAATGAATACGAAATTTTGCAGGTAAAGTTGAAATCGTTTCCATCTTCAACTATACAATGCGTAAGGTGTGGCTAACCCAGGGTCGCATTGGCTTGTCGCTCTACGATGAAATCGGCCAAGGTTACCTGCGCGAAATCGACATGGAGAACTATATTATTGACATTATACCGACATTAACACAGATCAGCAGTTGCGTGCAACCTTCTTTTCAGAGTTTCTATGTCTGCACGGTGGTGAAAAAGTTTTTCTTCTTTCTGGACCCATTGCATACAGGACGTATACGCATACGAGACATACTGGCGTCGGGTCTGCTCACCGAATTGTTAGAATTGCGCGATGAGGAAACGCCGAAAGACTCGCAGGAACAAAACTGGTTTTCCATGCCGTCAGTGCTAACCGTTTATGGCAATTATTTAAATTTGGATAAAGACCACAATGGCATGTTGAGCAAGCAAGAGCTGGCCGGTTATGGTTCCGGCACATTGACTTCAGTCTTTCTAGATCGCGTTTTCGATGAGTGCCGCACTTTTGATGGCGAAATGGATTATAAAACTTTTCTCGATTTTGTTTTGGCGCTCGACAATAGACACGAGCCACAATCGCTGCATTATCTATTTCGCATACTGGATGTGCAACACAAAGGCTACTTGACGGTGCAGACGCTGCACTATTTCTTCAAAGGTATACAAGAGCAAATAAATGCGGTTAATGCGGAAGCGGTGAATTTTGAAGATTTGAAAGACGAAATATTCGATATGGTTAAGTCAAAAGACCCATATAAAATTACGCTGCAGGATTTAATCAATTGGTAAATAGTGTGTGTGTGTGTGTGTGTGCGCGCATGCTTGTGGCAAATACTTACATAGCCTCTGGTTGGCGCAATAGCACATTTTCATCATTTATTAATTAAACTCTAGTGTTTCTAACATTTATTCCAATTTTCATTGTCATTGCAGTGGCCAAGCGGAAACTGTCGTCTCCATCCTCATAGAATTTCACAAATTTTGGGCATACGAAAATCGTGAGGATGGCTCACATAACGTTTAGTTTCGACGCATTCAAATCGAAACTTAATTATAAGCCAAGGATATTACGTAAATCGACTTTAGATTAGGGCGATGCAGACAGAACGGTTGAAAGGCAAAGCAATCAACATTAGCACCGAATTGTGCCGCTTGAACAATAAGACTTTGAATATGTAATGTGCTGTCATTATTAGGATATTCATTAAGCAGTTAATAAGTATCGAAAAGGTGAAGCTGCGACGTTTACTCTTTAGCGATTAAGTTTATGTATACAAGAACAACAATGAACATTCCAACAAAACGCTACGCAGAATTATTTATATGTAAGTATGTGTTTGTTTGTAGTTTTGTTGATATTGTAGCTGCGACAACGATTAGCCAGGGCCACCGTTTTACCGTCTTGACGCAGTGTAAAGCGAAGTGTGGCAATAGGCAGTAGCAGCGATGAAACTAGATTTTCCATAAGTTAAAATTAGAATTTTGTGTCATGCGCGTACCGCTTGCGTTTTTAGTTTTATTTTTTAATTTAATGCGCTGTAAATGAACATATTGACTATCAAGTAGTTTTAATCTTAATATGTTTTGAAGTACTTAAGTGTTGGTGTATGCGAGGCTGATCCAAATCCATGCATAACAATAGCGCCTATCTTTTACCCGTAAGTGAGATGTTAATTCTAGAACTGTTATACGATTAATGCATAAGTATTAAACTTTTAGTGCAAATTTTAAATTAATTGTAAATAATTTTTAATCACTTTATATTTTAAATATACACAAGTATTTATATTAAAAATAGAATCGTTTTCTGGTAATATAAAATCGTTACATGCATAGTACGTACTTAAATACAATTCAAAAATTTATCGCCTGACCTACACCAGGGTTGCAATAATGTATTACAAAAATAATTGAATTTTTCTTTATTGTTTATTGTAATCAAGAAAATCTTATTTAAAAATAATTTTTAAATTTCTAATCAAAATACCGCATTGAAAAATTAGAAATGAATTTTTAATTGCAAATACCGTATTGAAAAATAAAATAAAAATGTTAAATAGTTCCAAGCTTATAATTAAAAATTAAATTTAAAAAAATGGTTTGTGAATTTAAATTTTTTTCGTGCTGCGTACTTTGTATTCTACTATTTTGTTTTTTTTTTAGAGCTCTCAAAGAGCCATCGGCAAACTTACACAGAGATTGTCATCTTCACAGCGTTTCTCCAAACTATTTGGTAAATGTTTTCTGCCTTTGCAACAATTACAACAACGTCGCTGCCTCTCGATAACCAGATCGATCGTTCTAAGCAACCTGACTCTCTTCCTAGCTTTATGTACTGTTGGAGAAAAAGTGAGTTTGCTGGTACAATAACAACAGCATGAATAAAATATAATTTTAGACTAAATTTCGAATCCAACTTCGCCAAATAAGTTGAGTTTATGATAGTTATAGTTTAATGGTTTCTGTTTTCCATCAAAAATCAAAGCATACTGATTTCGATCTCAATTCAATCCTTCTGCACCAGCTTGATTTGCCTCTTTTGTTTCCATTATATATATTATATATAGCAAAAATTAAAGATTTCGATTGACTCGCATGAAAGTTAAGTTAGAATGAAACCAGAGAAAGTGAAAACATATAACATGTTTCCGTTCTGCGCTTCATGGGTTCGCAGATACCGTATATATTACACAAACGTCAATCCAAAAAAAAAAATGTAAATCGAGAGCGAACGACATTATGGAAGCAAAACTTTGCACAAATAAGACCTTTAAGCTATATCACGTCTAAAAATTGTCGAAATTGCAGCATAAATTTTCAATTCCTCAGTTATCGAATATATAGACCCTAGTGCCCATGGCTAAGTTTTTACCAAAAATATTGGTCAATCTGTGAGATATACTAATGCAATTCAGAGTGCATCTTTTTGTGACAATAATGTGATCTGGTGTCGAAAAAGGGTAAAATCGGGTCAATAGTTCCCCTATCGTCCATATGCCTAACATAAAAATGTTTTAACTTGCATATTTTATTTCATTTAAGTTAAGGAAGTCGCGAATTAATTTAGGAATCCTCTTTAGTCTACTATATATTTATGTCGTACGTAAATATTTCACATTTTACAATGCCTTATTGTAAACGCCAAAATGCAAATCCTATCTCTCTGGGGTCTTATGAATATTTGCATGAAATTTCTCGTAACTGCATTTTTTCGGCTGAATTTTTTATAGAAAATTAACAATTCTCTTGTGCATTTGTCATTTGAGCCTTTTGAAACTTTAATTATCAATTTTTTATTTCGCGCGAAAAGCAAATTTTGTTCTAATGCATGACCATTGAAGTTAGTTGCACGAGCACACAAAAACAAAAAAAAAATACTAATCACGAAACCATTTTTGTACAAAGTAACAACCATTTTACCTGTGTACGTATGTAAATGCAGACCTCCGCGGACAAAAAATAAAAACGTTTTTCACTGCAAACGCCAACACACACAACACACGAGAGAATGTGCTGATAAGTGAACCGCACGTCTGCACCGCAACGGAGCATACCATCACTCGCAAACATTTATAAAACATTCATTTTTCAACTTTATTTTTTCGGCAGGTGCCGCACATACTTACATAAATACATATGTACGTATGTACAGACAGACAAGCGCTTGTATAAAAGGTGTGCAAATCAACTGGTCGCGAACCGCTGTCCACTGTCCACCCTCACCAACCTTAACTGTCCGCCTTTCATTTCGTTTCGACATTCGTTCACACACACGTGACACACTGTTCATTTTCTCCTTCGCCGCTCGCGTGCTTTGGCTGCTTGCTGCTGGTTGGTTGGACGGCTGGCGCTTGGTTGGCTCTTTGACAGGTCTGTCCGGCTGTCTGCTCGGTTAGCTTGTTGTCTGTGCTGTCGTTTGGCATTTGTCAGCGTGGAGGCGAACGCACTCGGGTTTTATCTGCTGCTTTTCGCATGGCATACATATGTATGTATGAATGTATGTATGTGTGTGTGTTTGTGCACTTCTGCGCCAAACTTTCATTTGCAACGGCATCCAGCATATGCATTAACAACTTCTGTTGGCTCAACTCAAGCCCGGCGGAATTATAGCCAAAGTTTGAATCCTCAAGGATTTCCGCTTTTGCATAACTAAAATGTGCGCACACACTCGTGCATACAGAAAAACTCGAAATTTATTCACAACAAACAAATTGCAACTTTGCAGTTCACTTTTCAAATTTGTTCAGCATATTTGACTCGCCGCCGCCTCCCATCCTAATCACCTTTCCAGCATTGTAGCTCTCTCTGTGATTTGCATTTTTGGCGTGCTCATTATCGAAATGACCATTTGCCGATTATTTCTGCACATACAGACTCTCGAAGTTATTAGAAGTGTTTGTGGATCCAGCTAAGGTTTGGCTCAGTGCAATGCAACTTTATCGAATGTCGGCATTATAATTTTGCTCTAAGAACATATCAAAGAACAATGTAACAGAGTATCTTTGTGCCTATAATGGATCAAATCAGAAGCAAATTCACCTTAGCCTCTATATAACTGGAACTTTTGGGTAGTGCTGCCTTTGAAGAGAGTGAAGTTATGTTATAGGGAGGTGCGAGAATTGCAACTTGCAAAAAATGATTCACGACGCAAAACTTTAAAATTTTATATTTGGAGAAGTCTTCTTCGATTTTATGGGTTGTTATAGGCAGATTATTAACGGTGCTAAACAACGTTCGAAATTGAATTAAAGTCTATTTTTCATTTAGTTTACATCGAGACTAATCAGACTCCCCATAGTTGCATACAAGTAGCATTATTGTTGTTATAGTACTGGTATGTCCATAAAACACTACCTAAATAGTTTGGAGAAGTTGTCTTGCTCCCTTAGGTCAATTTATCGTTATATCGTGACCTAAATTTGTCGTGTTTTCTATCTAGAATACGTTTTGCAGAGCGATTACCAAGTGCGAGGTTACTTTTGGCTTTTGACTTCGTTAAAGCAATGAAAATTTCGCCGGAATTATGACCTAAAGCGAATGTTTCTAAAAGCTGACCCTGATTTATACCATTAATTTCATGATCCATTTATCACTAAAACAAAATTCATGCATATATAAGTATATACTTCAACTCACATTGAACTGGTTGGAGCTTGAGATTGAGATTGATATTGATTCAATTACAAAAGTTCGAAAAAGCTGTAAGCCTCTGCAACGTTCCATATGATAATAAATACTCGTATAGTTCTAGCTCTTCGCACCACTGTGGAAAACCAAGCATTCTAGGTAGGTTTTCAAGTAAACCCTCTTATTCCTCTATCATCACACATTCAATATGAGACTATAAGATCTTTAAGATTTGAGAAATAAACCGGAAGAAGTAATGCTAAATCTACAAATATGTGTTAAGATTGGCTTTATTTGATCCCTACACAGATCCGACTTCTTGACATAGTAGATGCCTCAGATAAATCAAAGTAATTACAATAGTGATCGGCAACGATTATAATATCCTCACTGTTTTCAACGACCTAAAGTCCTACAAAAGACTATTCGTTTAATGACTTACAAGCCAAAATGTCCAACAAACACTTTAAAACTTTCATAAAAAGCAAAATAAAAATCACTTCAGCTTTTATCGAAATTGGACTCAGATATTTTGTCTCCTTCCTTCCAAAGGCTACGCAGTTGGCGTTGTTGTTGTTGTGTTGTGGCATGCGGTTTTGTACTCTCGGTTAGTTATTCGGGTTGTTGCTTGTTTTATGAGCGTGTACAACAAATCCACATGAGTCAGCCGATATGATGAGCATAAGCGGGTTAAAGTCAAAGGGGGATGTGTTTGAGAGTGTTTGGGGCAACAGCTGTGGGATCGGCTATGAGGCAGCTACGAAACATTAGTTTGTAAATGTTAAAGTCGTTATTATTGTGGTTGCTCACAACAGATGAGTTTTAACTAGCGTCGTTGTTGTTACTATTTCTGTTGTAAACTCTAGCAGTTTTCATTTTCGCTGTGGATTTTTATTTTTGTATTTGTAATCTATTTGCTTTAGTGTTTGAGCCGAGTCATGGTATTTAGCAAAAGTAGTGAAATTTGACTTGTTAAGCATTATGGCGGGGCTTAATAGCTTCCTGTGTTGTGAATTGTGGAGAAGAGGTTGCAAAAAAAAAGAACTTATGATCAAATTTGTTGTGTG